TGGGGCCTGAGTTGGCGAAACGTAATTGAAAGGGGGCTAACCGGAGGAGCTTGCCCAGATTAATCGGTCTGCGGGAAATTGTGACGCAAAATTAGTTAGAATAGTTTCGTATTTAGAAAGTAAATTGCATGAAAATATTTGGAAGGGGTCGGTGGTCCTTCCCAAAATTGGTCGGTTTGCGGGAAATTATGGCGCAAAATTAGGTAATATGATTTTGTATTTAGAAAATAAATTGCGTGAAAATAATTGAAGAGGGGAAAATAGATAAGAATATTCTTCCAGTAAATACATATGTTAGTTTTTCGAAAACTCATGAGCAGAAACAGAGTTTTTTTTTTTTTTTTTTACATCGCAGATGACGTATTTTGTTTTAAAATAGGCAAAAACAGGCGTTTTTGAGCTCTTCCTTTTAAGCACTTGGGCTTGGTAGTAGTGTAGTGGTTAGCACGTCGCATTCGGATCTGAAGAATACTAGTACATTATCGAGAAGTTTCCCTCTTCTCCAGCCCTACGTCCAGTTTTTGTTCGCCCTTCTATGGCCCTTCATTTCAAGATATAATTGATAATCATGACGACTAGCAGTTCAAATTACACTAAGCCCTTCTGATGATTTTTAAGAGCTATAGTGACTTTGGTGTGATAATAACTGATAGTTAATTCGGGGTGGAGAATTTGGCGTGGTGATAACTGATGGCTATTTTTGGGTTCAAGGAATTGACCTGGTCTCTGTCCTCTTCCAGTCTCCTAACCAGCGATATTATTCATTTGTTTGTATCTTTAAAATTTCTACAACATTTGGGTATTCTTAGAACAAACTAGAACCGATTTCAGTGGAATTTACGGGGGCCATCAATGAATTTTGCTGAAATTTCGAAAGAAAAAGCTATCGACAGCCTTGTCAGCGAGTGGTTGCTGGTGGTTAAAATCTGTACGCAGTAAATTAGGCCCTTCTGGAGGCATTCCATATGCTGTTTACAAGCATTCTGCACAGAAATGTCACACAGCTACTACACAGAATTTTGAGGCATCTTATACAGTTGATTCTCTATGTTGTACACAGTTTACCGATTATAGCTTACACCACTTTTATGCGTTTTTGCCCTTCAAAGAGAAGAAAATATTGATAGATATATTAACGAATAATGTTTTATTTTTCAGCTCCACGACGGTGTGTGCCTTTATCGAATCGTTTTTTCGACAGCACAATGAATGACACCAAATATTTTGTACGTTTACGCATCGGACATAAGTAAGTTGAATTGTTTTTTTGAGGAGAAAGTCCAATTTTGAGGCAAAAAAAGCATCGTTGTTACCCTCTTTTTCCCTCATCCACATGGCAGCAGCAGCAGCACTTTGCGGGGTATTAATTCTTTTCGATTCAGAATTCCCTTATTCACTTAGGTGTTCAAGCGGATCCTTCCACCTACTTCATTCTTGGCCGGAAAAGGCCACCAGTGAGACAAGCAGATGGGGGGGTTCTGGTCCTTTAACTTATGGAAAATAAAGTAGAGGAAAAGAAAAATTTTCTGCTTTATTTTGTTTTGGTATTTAACGATTTTTACTGTGGTTTTTGTTGGCATTTGTTACTAATTAGGCTCATAGACGCGAATATGGAAGGAGTTTTAATTTTTGACTTTAGAAAAACTTAAAGAAATAAAAAAGCTGGGTGAAGTTACTATACATTTGAGAAAAGCTAAAAAATTTAAAAAAGATAAAAAAGTTACTACACATTTGAAAAAAGCTAAAAAAACAAAAAAAAAGTGAAAGAAACTGACACATGGAAAAAAGTCCACAGATATTATATGCAAATGCCTCCTTGTCTTTTGTCTGCTTAATCACGAAAGCAAGCTATCCTCATGACAGGTTTCTAGCCTTTCCATCTCCCTCTCAGCTTTTCCTTTTCTCCGAATTGGATGATTTTTGTTGCCCAGCTGATCGTGTGAACAGAAATTTTGAGGTCATGCTAAACACGAACACCGATAGTGCATTACTGTTCAGTATATGGGTGATAGGAGGCGGTACTGATGATTCCTGCGCTTACCCGCGAAGAGCAACAGCGCATGACTGTTCAGTACGTGGTCGGTAAGAGGCAGTACTGATGATTCCTGCGCTTAA